ATACCGTAGCTTTCCGTAAACCGCGTAACGAGTGATGCACGGAGTAACGGCATTCGCGTATCGACGTTAATTAATTGCATCTTCAGTTGCGTACAACTGAAAACAGCCGAGGTAGGTTCGCTGGGCTGCTTGCCGATTTAAAAGAATTCGCAGTCGGTGCGTGTCTATGCAATTTCGCGTGCGGTTAGTGGACACGAGACAGACGGCAATGCTTGACACAGCAGGATATACGAGAGGCATTGTGCAAGAAAGGGAGTTGCGTGCACGTTGCGAGGTACCGATGGCACTAGCAGAATTTAGACACGGAGGCGATTTTCAGTAATTGAGATCGTCGTCCCTTGCGACGATTCGTGGATTTTTAGTTCACGGGTTAACGGGATTAAATCGTCGTAGCGGTATATGAGGCGTAGCGTGCAGAGGATCGTGCCAGAAAATATGCGAAGAATATTCAAATTAGAGGCATCGTATTTCAGTGGCGGATTAACCCAGCTATAGACTATGTAGGAAAGCAATATAGTTCACGATGCTTTCCTGTGCAAGTTTTATTTTCGTCGTCACGGTTAGGTGGGCGAGGTTCCGGCGGAAGTGGAAGCGATTTAGGTGTTACGTTATTACGATGCCGGAAATACGCGAACGAACCCCGTGGAAGCAGCGATCGAAGCGCCATTGTTCGTCGCGAAATCGCGCTTGCCACCCGGAAGTGGAGGCTCGTTACCGGAAGAAGGTGAAAATGCCTGTCGAGATCGCGACTCTAACGAGACAGAAAGTTTATCTTCCTTATTGAAACGATCGTCCCCGTCACATTTAGTCGCGCATTGATTGATTATCGCGTCGAGATCGAATCGTAACGAGAGAAACCAGGAAATTTGTGTTTCGCGCGTTGTCACTCTGCTTATTAGAATCTGTCACGAAGATATACGAGCTGTTCCATGAAACACGGCGATTATTCCCTTCGCGTCGTTTCCGTTTTCATCAAAATGCTTTCACGTGTAATCATGCTAAAGTACCTTCATTACGTGAAAACGCGAACAGGCCGACGTGTGTTTGCGTGCAAGGGTGGAAGGTGCAACGATCGAGCCGCGCCCTTTGAAAGGCGCGGCCCTTGCAAGGGTGTGGTGTTTGCTATGCACGATAATGCCGTGTGTCTGCTCCCTTATTTCTAATCCTTGTTTTGTATATACACATCAGCACGGCGCACCCTGTTTCATCGTGAACTTTAAATTTAAGAGTATGCATTTTACAAAGAAATTTGACAAAGAATTATATTTCTACGGGATTTTACAGAGAAGTCTGGTCTGTACTAACCCTCTTATTTATCACCGAGTACTTAATTTTCCACCAGCACATCTGTTCTACTCTGTAAAACAGAGTATCGTTTTATAATTTTACATCTCTCAGGTGCACAAACTGTATATCGAGGTACGCAATAATAATAAGCACTCTGAGGTACATAAATTGTAAATTGAGGTACGTAAATGTGATGCGCGTTAATTACAGCTGTGTGATGAACTTTGAACTTTCTACGAACGTTTTCTGCCACGAACTTTTATCCAACTTGTCGGATCTATATTTCATATTTCTCATGTTTAAGTGTTAGCACGAGCATATCTTGAACCGAGAGTCGCGAGGCTCGCGAACGACAGGATGATGTACGTTCTGATTCTTCGGTTACGATAGATCCGTGTGGAAAGACGATTTATACTTTCGCGGCGTCTTATTGTCAGTGAATGTTTGTCAGTGGGCGATCGGGATTGTTTACCCTATGACATACTCGTCGGTGTCTTAGTCATAACTCATTCGAGTCATACGATACTCAACGAGCTACGCACATCGGCCTAAAAAGTGACGTACGTTTAAGATAAAAAGTATTAACAATGGAAAACGAGCGCACGATCCATCTTAGAATTATCAATCGTATTTGTTGAACTTGAGATGCGCCTCGAATTTCTTCTTCTATGCGCCTATAGGAAGCGATTAGGAATTGATTAAGT